TGGTGCTGTTGTGGAGTAGATAACGATATTGACCGCAATCATTGTTTCTGATGAAAGTAGACGTATAACTTATCTGATCCTTATACGACTCTTATTTCTTTCATCGTGCACAGCATCGGAAATTACATAGACTCTTACATTTGTCTGCTAAAAGGGTCATATTCTACATACTCTCTGGCGATGTCAAGTTTCAGTCTCTCTTACAATGAAGCAACTTTGACGTAGTCGCAGGGTTAATATCTAGGATTAATATACCGTATGAAAGAATAGCTCGAGTAGTACAAGTGTTGATACTGGTCGGTTACCGACCCAATTCTTTTTTTATTGGATTAATCAGCTCTTCAGCTTGATTTTTATCTGTAGCGCAAGAACATTTTGTTTTGTTTTGCCTTCAGGAGAAGTGAAATACTGAGTGTCACGTTTTCACTTTTGGCCATTTTGTGACAGCTGGCCTGCCCTTGTAAAAGTAGTAGGACAAACTCGTCGCGGTTGTGTCGAATTGTGAAATTAGTGTATATTCTGGCAACTTCCCAGATTAAAAAGTTAAGAAAGGACGGGGAACGGTTTCTACTAGAAAATGGTTTTTCACATGCCTGATTAATTTTTGCACAATTTTAGGACTAACACCAGTACAATCAAAATTTCGTCTCTACTACGAAAAAGTCAAACATAAGATAAAGACATTGAATTTGTTTTCTCGGAAATTGACCACTGATGAAGATGAATTAAAGATTGAAGTAACAGCCACACAGTTAACAATCATTCTTTTGATCCTTTCACTGTTCGTACTTGTGATTTATACGGCAAGGCTGTACTTTACCACAATGATACACGTGAAGAAGTCTGCTCTACCAGTATACAACGATCTCTATCAAAAATACACGACTTCACTCATTTGTCGATGTTCTACCGTTGCCATCTTCTATACGGAAAACAATTTCTTGTATTTTTCAAGCTAAACAAAAGCGCCATTTGTCGTACTTTCAAAACCAAAACGGATATTTTAGTTGCAAAATTCTTTTTTTGCGTCTTGTAAACTATGTATTATTTACAGAATGCAATAAATTCGTCATCATGACTCATGATGATATTTTGGAAACTGCATTTATTTGAATGAACGGTTCATTCAAATGCATGCAATTTTCAAAATGTGCATTATTTAAAATTATTATGCTGACCAGTTTTAAATGTGAACAACACTTGTGGAATATAAATAACTAGAACATCAACGGCTACTTGCTATATGACTCAGGAGCTTCTATCCTTAATTTTCTTTTAATCCAGATACAGTCATCCAATTTTTTAGAAATGCCTACATAAATTCCGTGAGCATATTCCATTTTAACCAAAATTCCTTATCGATTTCCTATATACTATAAGATAGAGAATTAACCTCCAGCAAACTGAAAACTGAATTTTCTCTGAACTAGAAATTCCTCATAGAATTTATAGAGAATCAGTAAAACAGCAGCAGTAAGACAACGTAGATTCCTAGATTGAAGAATCTGGTAGTCGAGTTCCCTCAGCATTCTGACTAGATTTCGTTTCCTGGAATTCTGCTAAATCTGATAAGAATCTTACACGAATTCATAAGAAATTGGGAAGAGTCAGCAAAACGACGAAAAATAGTGTCTGTTATATAAGACACTTTATTTAACCAGCGAAAATAAGAGCTATTTAGATAAGTAAACAGAGAGCTGAATTTGCTGTGCACATCCTCTGAATTTACTACCTAACTCTCTATTCATACTGATTTTTCCTTTTCAAACAAAGATTATAACATGACAAAAGCATTGTCTCCTCGACGAATGCATTAAAATTTGATTGCACTACGTTCTTGAAGAAAAGTCAGTAAACACAGTGGAAAAGTAAAACACAGTGGAATCAATCGTATATAACAAAATAGTGACTGGAAGAATGTGAAACTAGTGCGTACCGGTGCAGCATAGCATGTCGTGCGCACTGGTACTGCCGACCTTTTTTCAATACTGTACTGGAATTCTTTTGTTTTCTCGACAAGAATTTCATGTTTCGTCTTGAAGAAGTCTATGTCAATCCAGCAGAATTTCAAGTTTTTTTTTGCAGAAATAGGTGTTTTTCGACAAGAATTTCGTGTTTCTTCCCGAAGTAATCGGTGCTACTCCAGAAGAATTTCATGTTTTTTTCCGAAAGAGGTGGTTCTCCACAAAAACGTTTTGTAAAACACTTGGATTTGTCAGTGTCTAACACTCCAGTAACTGGTTTAAGTTAACCACGTCATTGATTTCCATCTAGCATGCCAAGGGATGTGTTTTCATTACTTCTTTCCCATTTCGATATTATTTTTCTTGCACAACAGGGCCACCGTCGTGGACCAAAGCCGAATTTTGACCTATTCTGAGAAGAATAAAAAGTTCAGATGATTCATTTCTCTGATTCGCTGAAAGTTTAATATACATTCAATTGTGAACCTATAAACCTCAAAACAGGACCACATCTGTTAGTGGGCATGTTGCAAACTGTTTGAAGAATGCCGCAATTACAACAACAACAAAGTACATCGGCAGCAAAGAAAAATAATACAAAAAAACATAACGGCGAAGAAATCTAACAGTAACAGAACCACCGTCGTGGACCAAAGCCGAATTTTGACCTATTCTGAGAAGAATAAAAAGTTCAGATGATTCATTTCTCTGATTCGCTGAAAGTTTAATATGCAATCAATTGTGAACCTATAAACCTCAAAACGGGACCACATTTTTCTTGCACCAATCTAGAGCACAAGATCTCACATGTCCTGTTATTTCTTGCGGTTTAAATTTGTTCATACAGTTTGGACAAGCGTACCAATTGTTGTTATCCTTTACTAAGACCTCAACAACTTTTCGTGGCGCTATTCCTTGATCAATTTTCTTCTCCGCAAGCCGTTTCTGGTCACCTCTCCCTTTATACTCTCGCACTATTTGCTCAATGTTTGTGTTGGCCGTGGTGGTTTTCACTTTGGTGTTAATTGTTTCCCTCCAACGATCTCTGTCTTTCACTTCTCTTCTCCAGTTTCTCACATTGTATTTCGCCAGATCGTCGGTGACTTTGTCATCCCAGCTTTTCCTAGCACCAACATTATCGGGTCTTTTCTCGCTAAAATACGAAAACATAACTTTCTTCACTAAAGCTGCTTCGCCTAGATCGTTTGACATTCTATTTACATGTCCAAACCATCTGAGGCGGTTTCGTCTCATAATCTCTTCGATGGCTGGCTGTCCTGTAAGATGTAAGATCGTTTGATTTGGCACCCTATCGCCTAAGTTCAGTCCCACTAAAGTTCGTAGACATTTCATGTAAAAAGTGCCGATACGTTTCTCTTGCGCCACGGTTGGACACCACGTTTCGCTGCCGTACAGAAGAAACGGCAGCACACAACTAAAAATTCTTAATTTGGCATCAATGGAAACGCTCTTTCCATACCAAACTACACTTCGCAACATATTGAAAGCGGTTGTTGCCTTTGTTAATCTTGCCTGTAGTTCTGTTTCCATTTTCTGGTCTCGTGAAACTACGCTTATAATAACGGTAACCATCAGTTAGTTAATTTTATGGTAACTATTTTTTAAGTATGCCAGAAATATCCACACAGCGACTTAAAATGGCTTCCAAAATCGTTAGTTTTCCGCTAAAACTGTTGAAACTTTCATAAATGACATGGCTTTGTAGTCTAATTTCGTTGATGAAAACAAAAAAGATTTATCAAGCTGGCCGTAGATGCTGAGGTCTCCAGAGACCTCCTTAAAACTCGCAGTTACAAAACATTAAAGTTATATAATTTGCATTATTTTAGTCGCTTGGCACATGTGTGCCAATCAAAATCATGTCATTTACGAAAGTTTCAACAATTTTAGTGGAAAACTAACGATTTGGAGACCATTTTAAGCCGCTGTGTGGATATCTCTGGCGTACTTAAAAAATAGTTACCGTAAAGTTAACTAACTGATAGTTACCGTTATTTCAACGGCAACTGAAAACGCAGTTATTATTAAAGTAACGATAACTGTCTTTTCAGTTACAGTTGTTTTAACGCTAACTGAAAAGACAGTTGTCGTTACTTTAACGGCAACTGTTTTTCCAGTTACCGTATCGATAACGACCGAAGAAGTAACCGAAACTTTTACAGTCCTATTCACGAATATATTTTTCATAATATTTATCGTATTTACTAATATCAGTTCTATATCGAGCACGAAGTGCCTCTAAATGTAAGAATACGTGAATTCTGAGGCATTTTAAGAAACTGTGTGAGTAAACGAATCCGAGGTCAAGCAGTCTTATAAAGTCATCAATCACAATCGTTTCTTTTCAGAGAACTCGAAAGGATCGGTGGAAAAAGCTTTTCTCAAAAAATCTACTAGGCGTCCTCCCTCGGTCAAAATGTTGGAAAAGAATTGATTTAACCTGTACAGTTTTAGTTCCAAATATTGAAGATATTGAATATGATATTTCGTAAAAAATCCGTAATGAGCACTTTTATTGCTCTGGTTTGACGGGCGTATAAATCGGATTCTAGTCGGGAATAACTAGAAAGAGTATAATACATTTTTAGGGAATATCATTGAAAACAAGAAAAAAGTATTTAAAATGACTTTTGTTTGTTATTTTCAATAGATACAAACTTCAGTAAATTTGCTGAACACACTAACAAAAACTTGTACAACTGCAGATGGAGAAGCAATGGAGTCTGAAGCTGAAAGACTCTTATGTAAATAAAAATAGAATATTCGAGTTATCCGCGAAAACATTATAAGTTACTTAACCATTATACGTGCATCTTTTGTACAAGTAGCTGTTACAGGTGTTCCATTTTAGAAATATGACTTTGGTGTATCACAATGTTCATAGTCAAACTTTATTTTTAAACAGAATGACTTGAAATAAAAAGGTACTAACTCAGCATTTTCAGTAACAGCCGCATAGAGAAAGCCATGTGAAAAATGGAATAAACGTGAAACGACACATATATAGAAAAAACGTTAAAAATAGTCTGAGCATGAGCAATTTCCACCACGGAAATGATGTATACGATGTCTGTCACGAACAATAATTTCACATTTTCTAAGTTTAGATATTCGTTTCGTGAACTCATGACAATCTCCACACACTCGTAAATTTTTTACCACTTGAATTCTTTCTACAGGTCTGGATAATGATGCCACAAAATTAAACGCGATTGCCAACTTTTCTGAATGTCCACATAACAATAACTCATCGCTTTCACGTGAATCTGATCCACGCATTACCCATCTTCTGTCATACTCATAGCCATCTTTCTTAGCTTCTTCAGCCAGCTCATCTACTTTTTTGTATATTTCATCTGATCTTGGATGGCGTCGATCATGAGCTTTGAAGTAGTGAACTAGTCCATTCACTGTTGTCCAACTAAGGCCCATTACTTTTTTCAAACCATCCCGAATCATCTCATCTTTGATTTGAATTGATTCATTATAATAACCTTGTCCGGCATATGTGTTGGCTAATAATACTGCTGCAGCTGCAAGAGAATTCTTATCAGTCACATCAAGTGAACGCATTCGATCATAAATGTCTTGTGCCCTGGAACTATTTCGATCCTTTCGAGCACCAGATAATAATGCCATATACATGGGAAGATACGGCTTATTTTTTTCTTCATATTGTTCAATCAGATATTGAGCTTCATCGAATAGAAACATTCTAGCTAATGTATCAACCTAGAAACGAACAAAAAGATCGTTAAAATGTGTAGGATCAGTCGATAAGCATAATGAAGCAGTGCCTCCTTTCGACACTGAATTTCGAGAAGCTACACTAACGACTGTCGGAGAGTAGAAGATCAATCATACATACCATTGCTGTATAAATCTGTTCATTTTTGTGATCGATCGATCTGAATATCGTCTTTGCTTCGCTAATCAATCCGGAATGACTACAGGAATTAATAGCACAAACATATGTCTGCTCGTCTGGGACAAGACCAAGTTCATGTGTCATTTTATGAAACAAATCAATCGCTTCTAATCCATGACCGTTTAAACCAAAACCGTTGATCATCGCTGTGACAGCCACAACGTCATACTCTTTCATGTTTCTGAAGATAGTTTTAGCCATGCCGATATCTCCACATTTGGAAAAGGCGTCTACAAATGCTGATTCGACCATTAAATAATTTTTATATTTCGCTCGAGTTTCTTCATAAAGATCTTTGACCAATTTTGTTAAACCCAGTTGAGCACATGCATTCACCGCCAAAGTGTAGCTCACAGCACTAAGCTCCAGCTTTTGTTGTTTCATTTTATCAGCTAAATGCAGCGTTTCCATTGGCATTTCGTTAACATTATAACATTTCATTAGGACATTGTATGTTGATGTGTTCCGTTTATTCATTTCATGAAATATCTTCTCCGCTGTGTCTGTATCACCACTTCTGCCGTACAGATCGATCAAAGTATTTTGTAGTATTATATCATCATTCCACTTCGCACCATCTTTTTTCATTTGTTCATGGTAATATTTGCCCATCTCTAAACCCTTGTGACTCCCAATTTGAGTACAAGCACTTATAATCAAGACATAGGAGACAACATCGAATCGAATGTTCTCTTGTTCCATTTTATTAGCCAAATGCAGCGTTTGCATTGGCATTTTGTTAACATTATAACATTTCATTAAGACGTTGCATATTGTTGTACCCCGTTTATTCATTTCATGAAATATCTTCTCCGCCATTTTTATATCACCACTTCTACCATACAGATCGATAAGTGCACCTTTTACTACTATATCATCATTCCACTTCCCACCATACTTTTGCATTTGCTCGTGATAATATTTGCCCGTTTCTAAACCTTTGTGACCCCCAGTTTGAGCACAAGCACTTATAACCAAGACATAGGACACAATATCAAATCGAATGTTCTCTTGTTCCATTTTATTAGCCAAATGTAACGTTTGTATTGGCATTTTGTTAACATTATAACATTTCATTAGGACATTGTATGTTGATGTGTTCCGTTTATTCATTTCATGAAATATTTTCTCCGCTGTGTCTGTATCACCACTTCTACCATACAGATCGATCAAAGTATTTTGCAGTATGATATCATCATTCCACTTTGTGTCATCCTTTTTCATTTGTTCATGATAATATTTGCCCGTTTCTAAACCTTTGTGACCCCCAGTTTGAGCACAAGCACTTATAATCAAGACATAGGACACAATATCAAATCGAATGTTCTCTTGTTCCATTTTATTAGCCAAATGTAACGTTTGCATTGGCATTTTGTTAACATTATAACATTTCATTAGGACATTGTATGTTGATGTGTTCCGTTTATTCATTTCATGAAATATCTTCTCCGCTGTGTCTGTATCACCACTTCTACCATACAGATCGATCAAAGTATTTTGCAGTATGATATCATCATTCCACTTTGTGCCATACTTTTTCATTTGTTCATGATAATATTTGCCCATCTCTAAACCTTTGTGACCGCCAATTTGGGCACAAGCACTTATAACCAAGACATATGACACAGTATCGAATTCAATGTTCTCTTGTTTCATTTTATCTCCTAAATGTAACGTTCGCATTGGCATTCCATTTGTTATGTAGCCTATAGAGAAAAAAGTAGAGCAGTTCATCTCTCTGGAATTTCTCAGCAATTCAGCATATTTCAGAATTAGAATAATCCTCGCACCCTCTCTAAAACAAACGTTATCCAAGTGCAGGACTGCGTTCGAACTTATGACATAGGCAATGTATGATGTGATGGATGAAATCAGTTGATCGATTTATTAGCCTTTGTATAAAGGGAATACGGGAAGGCTCACCTTTTAACATGGTGTTAAACGTGGGAACATCGCGTTTAGTCATTGTCTCGAAAAGCGTTTCAGCGTTTTTGACGTCTCTACATTGAAAGTACATATTCATCAACGCCGTTTGTATTTTGATATTGTCTTTTATTAATCGGTGGTCATTGTTAACTATCGTTTGATGCACCTGTTTTCCTTTTTGTATATTTTTCATTTGTCCGCATGCATTAATGACAAAAAGATATTTAGCGTGGTCCACTACTATTCTCCGTTCTATCATTTGGTCGTACAGTTGTAATATCTTCTCGTTTTGACCATTTTTCTTGAATTCTTTCATCAGCGCAGTATATTTTTGGACTGGAGCAATATTCGCTGATTCTGCGGTCATACTTAAAACTGGAGACTCCAGCCGTTGTTGTTGTTTCGATTCGCGATTCTCCGTATACTTTATACGTTTTAAAACGTTAAAATAATTTCTGGATAAAGCGAAACTTGATGGTAATTTGGCCAACATGAAAATCTGTATGTGCTACAGCAAAATAAAACATAGTTAGCATTTTCTGTCAAATTAAGTGAACAGCATTTTGATTGAACTTCGAGGAGATCTTTAGCCTCATAAAATGTGTTTTTGATTGATTTTTATAGCAAGAGTACGTCACGAACATGCCTTAAGACCTTTCGATTCATCAAACTTCTCAAGAGTAAAACCTCTTATGTTCTAATTTCTCTGTATACGCATATTAATAACTATCTGTTATTATATAATGAAATGAGGTCAGCTTGCCTGCGTATCCTTAAAAAAGAAGTTTTCATGTTAGAATACTTTTAGTTAGAATAGGGAAAACATTTGTTATTTATTTAAAGAAAACAGCATGTATCTTAAAACAAACAAAAGATTCGATGTTATGAACCGACGTGAATAAGAAATGGACCATTTTTAATATGTTTTCCATCACGATAAACATTGACAAAATGATCGCCAGTTTCTTTCGATATAAATGATAATTCTAAAAACAAAAATATGTGATCATTTTTTCTATTGATTTTTTTATGTGACCATATAATACCTCAGCTTCCATTTGACAATTCTTTTAATAGGCACGGTTCTTCTATGCCGCCGCTCGGTGAACGTATTGCTGCATGAAGTTCGTTTATATCTGTTTCCATAACACATAAACTCACTTTGATTACCGATCATGACTTGTGATCGTTTTCGAGATTCACCCAACACAAGTAGACGAATGTGATTACACGAAAACAATATCCTTGCATTGTCCATTTTATATTCGTTATTTTTGCTGTGAATGGCGAACCAACTATGTGTTTATCTGCACATTTATTGTTATCGTATATTCACCAGCAGACTTAAAAATGTCAAATGCACATGCATCAATGTTATGTTGAACAAGTTTTTATTTTATCGTCGTAATACATATGGGCCAGTAGGTAACATCACACGTTCCATCGTTATTATCTTTACATTGAATCTCTGCTTTGGATGGACCTTCAACGGCAACTGCTAAACCTCCTAAAAATTATAATAATTTAGTTAAGTTTTTAATATTTTTATATGTTGACAACTCGTACTACTAACCAGAGCCGGTATCTTTGGTAACACTACGAAAGTTGCATGGTGCATTGCACCGTGACTCAAACCAGGACCATAACCTCTTTGAACTTGATCAACATGAAATTTAAATGGTGATCCTAAAAATATTCGATTTAACTCATCAATTATACGATACTTTCTTCTATTTATGTAACCTGCAAACCTGCAATGGGTTGTCCTTGATAAAAAACATCTAATTCATGTCAACAAATTTCAGATGGCTGATATTTGATACTAACAGTTCCATCTCTTCGATAACAGGTGTATGCATTTTTCCTGTTGGTGTACGAACCACGACTAAAATAAATGCACGAGGGGATAAATTAGAGAGAACGAGATATAAAGTTATCAAATATTAGTAGATGAATAACAATAGTCAATGGTGCTAAAGAATAATTACCAAACTTGTTCAGAAGTAATTAATCAAATAAAGGAATGTATCGAAGATATTTAGACCAACACTTTATCATGCGAAACGCCTCATTTTGTAGACAAATTTTTGGTCTATGTATTTGTATGAAAGATAACATTAAAGCTTGAAAGAGAGAAACGTTTTTAACGAATTACTGAAGAGGCACGAACAGTTATGTAACTGGTGACCAGTTATCACGTACAGTTATGGCATTTAATAATGCTTATATTTTTGTCACAATTAATTTTAAACTTTTTTTGTTTCAAAAAATGCATAGAACAAACATTTGTCTACAAAACGAGACGTTCTGCAAGTCTGAGTGATTCTTATAACCGCGTTATAATAATTTTCCTGGATGCTCTAACGCTAGTTATATAACCGGTGCATGCCTAATACTAACACTATTTTTTGATTTTACAATTGGTTTTTTCATTTAATTTCATTTTAGCTTGTATTCAAGAGTCATTTCATAATAGGTGTTGTTGATTAAAATTGTACTATTACGAGTAGTTGCCGAATTCGAGTTCGAATATAAATGCATATTCTTTATATCTATATCTATTTCTATATACATATATTCAACGATATATACATACATAGGTAGGGATACGTCCTGTAGATGCAGATACAGTTAGGAATAGATTTAGTTTTGGTTATGCATATTGATAGGAATTGTTGTTCCAATAATAATAACAATAGTTATGATTATCAGATCGTTTTTCTTGAATAGAAATGAGTTCAGAAACAATCAAACAGTCACTAATCATCCATTCGTGTTTGACATCAGTCATGTGCTGTCATGACGTTTACCTGACTCACTCTCAGCTTGCACCCCCTCCACCTTACCATCACGTCACGACATGCCTCAAACGGATACCCATAGATGGTCAAACATTCATCATTCATACATTCATGTTTGACATATGTCAAACATGAATGTTTGAATGATGGATGTTTGACTGTCTATAGATATGTGTTTCACACATGTTATGACAGGATATGAATGTAGTAAATTTATGATTGTGTATGACACATATGGAAAGTTTTGACACGACATTCGACAAAATAGTTATGACCACTCTGGCATAAACGGAGGGTCGTCTACTCTCGTAACCAAATGATACTGACGTCCCGCAAATCCACGAAATCCTCATCCGCACTTCCAACATACCAACTAATAGGGATCAGACAATATTGCACCATACTCCGCCATGCTTATACATTCTGAAAATGTAGTTAACATCTACAGTAACTATTGTAAGAAATATTGGGTTGCGCCTCACTCTTATCAACCACCGCCCCCTTCCCCCACATACACTGCAGTATATGTATATGCACATATGTACTACACAGACTGCACAAACATCTTCTACTGTACAAACATATTATCAAACCATACACAACAGTTTTTCTTTTCTCACCCTATAGTCTACTATACGAATAGGGAGGCAGGTATGCACGAAACAGCCTCAAACACGATTTCTTTTTATCTTTTCTTCCACTGCACAACACACATACTGTACAATTAAAACGATTATTCTCTTCCACTTTCTCCTTCTTCATGTCACGATAGACAGTGCATATACGTCAACTATCGACAGCGTCAGAAATTTCAGAAATCCATACCCACTATGGACTTCAATATCATACTATACATATACCAAACAACTCTGTGCTGGAGAGTAATAAATGGCTAACCCATTTATGCCATTTATGCTAGAGGGTGATAAATGGCAGAGCCGTTTATGCTACGAAAGAGCCATTTACGCTAGAAATTACCCATTTATACTAGAGAACGCTCCTGGATAGGCAGCTGCATAGCCATTTATTCTAGAAACGGCGCAATTTATTTATCCAGTAATAAACTGTAACTGCTGAGGCTTTTAACAGGGAAAAAACTTTTACGAAGCTAACATAGCACAAACAAACTCGAACCACAGCGATTGTTTTAGAGATGATTACCCCGAAATAAAACTAAATCTACAACTACAGGATATACCCCTATCTATGTGCGTATATATGAATAAATAAAACTAAATCTATTCCTAACTAAATCTACAACTACAGGACATACCCTATCTATCTATGTATGTATGTGTAAATAAAACTAAACATATTCCTAACCAAATCTGCATCTACAAGATATAATCCTACCTATGTATAGATATATAGTTATGTCGAAGCATTTATTTTCGAAGTGATAGTAAGCAATTGAGGTCCATTTATATTCGAACTCGAATCAGGCAACTCATGACTATTACTACTATTACTAGTGCTACTACTACTATAGAGGAACATGTCATCTCATTTACCTGTAATATCGCCCACAGACGGCCACCACCAACTGGTAATCAAAAAGCGACAGGTCGATATTGACTGGAAACGTGTCTGGATATAAATGTATCTTGGATATGGTGACGGTCATATTTATCTTCTCCGGCCTAAGTTGCATGAAATATCACAAATCTCTCTACTGTTCTTCGTTCTATCATTTGGTCGTACAGTTGTAATATCTTCTCGTTTTGACCATTTTTCTTGAATTCTTTCATCAGCGCAGTATATTTTTGGACTGGAGCAATATTCGCTGATTCTGCGGTCATACTTAAAACTGGAGACTCCAGCCGTTGTTGTTGTTTCGATTCGCGATTCTCCGTATACTTTATACGTTTTAAAACGTTAAAATAATTTCTGGATAAAGCGAAACTTGATGGTAATTTGGCCAACATGAAAATCTACATGTGCTACAACAAAATAATACATAGTTAGCATTTTTCGTCAAATTAAGTGAACAGCATTTTGATTGAACTTCGAGGAGATCTTTAGCCTCATAAAATGTATTTTTTTTGATTGATTTTTATAGCAAGAGTACGTCATGAACATGCCTTAAGAGACAGTTCACGAGCCCAACAAGAAACCCAATCACGAATGAAACAATTGAGCTATAGTTTTTATTCCATACTCAGATTCTACTATATAGACTAGGCTTGTGAGAAATTTTTATATAATAACAGATAGTTGTTAATATGCATATGCGGAGAAATATCAGCGAAGTTATACAATTTACAGAATGATGACTATAGAAGATTTGCGAAAAGTGGCCTCCTACAGTAAAGAGGCCATAACTCGGTCATTTTCTGCATGTTCTCTTTGAGCAACATTTCATTCGAAAGCCTATCTAAAACTGAACTGAATCACATATTTCAAATTTGTTGAAATTTGATGCAAAGGTTCCAAAACTTGAAAACAAGATGGCCGACGGACAGCTTTCTTTCAGTTTTTCGACGTTTCTGGCATGAAAACATAATCAAAATTCAAAAATAAGGAGATATTTGGAACCAGCGTCGAAAACTGCATCAGATGAGGTTGATGGAAGTTATTTGGAGGAATAAAAAATTTCATCACTTTTTCAACTTTTTTATGTTCAATATAAGTAGGAGGAATGAAACAAAGGGATAAAAAATTCCGGAATAAAAAATGAATATAGTGCTTAGCTCTTGAAGAGCCTCGGCACAATAGAAAAATTTTTTGATTACCAAGTGTAGACGATATTTGTCAGAAACGAGAGATCACACGAAAGCAAGATGCGAATGAAGAGTAAATTATCATGTGCTTATTCTTTTTTTCTTGACGAAGGAGGGTCAAAGATTTAAGGTTTATTTAGTCTGATTTTATGCAGAACTAAATTCTTTATCAGATACATTATAAACAATTTCTGGGCAATTTTTGACCGGAATTTTTTATCCCGTTTTTTTAATCCTCCTGCTTATACTGAACATAAAAAAGTTGAAAAAGTAATGAAATTTTTTATTCCTCCAAATAACTTCCATCAACCTCATCTGATGCAGTTTTCGATGCTGGTTCCAAATATCTCCTTATTTTTGAATTTTGAAGTTTTCATGCCAGAACCGTCGAAAAACTGAAAGCATATTATCCGTCGGCCATCTTGTTTTCAAGTTTTGGAACCTCTGCACCACTTTTAAACCTAAATTTTTCAGCTCAGTTTGTAGAAAATTGAATTTTCTATCTCATGTGGCCTTCGAATTTTTTGAGAAATTCTGTTTAAGGGCTCAAAAGTGGCATTTGTTCGGAAAACTTCCCCGCTCAAAATGCGAATCTTTCACCTGATGTGGCTTTTAAACTGTCACTTTTCATCTTAAAAAATTTGAAAATATGTGATTTTATTCAGTTTTATATAGGCTTTCGAATGAAATGTTGCTCAAAGAGAGCATACAAAAAATGGCGGAGTTATGGCCTCTTTACTGTAAGAGGCTACTTTTCGCAAATCTTCTATAGTCATCGTTCTGTAAATTGTATAACTCAGCTGCATACGCCTATTAATAACTATCTGTTATTGTATGATGAAATGAGATCAGCTTGCCCGTGTATCCTCAAAAAGCAGTTACCATGTTAGAACAGCAAAAGCATTTGTTATTTATTCACATCCTAACTTAAAACACTTGAAACGACGAATATAGTGCTGACGAGGGAAGGCCACTAACTCCCTCCTCTCTTTTGAGCTTAAACTCAGTTGATAATAGGTAATCGAACGTGCTGATTCCGAATATCACAATGGTTTTTGCCCGCTTTCGGTTTAAAGACCCGTTTTTTAAAGTTCTTGGTTTTTCAATCGAAAACCCATTATCACTAAAAAATTTCCTTGGCCTGTCAAAATGAAAGAGCACGTCGTCAAACCTACAGAAAACAATTTGTCAAGGTTCTAAGGGAGATTTTGAGCGAGTCTTCTGCGTCTAAAACTTAAAAAAGAGGGAAAAACCGCTAATATTCTTACACAATTTATAAAAGAAAACTATTGTTTTTCTTTTTCAGAGAAGTTAATCTATGACGATTTTTGAAATTCTCCAGCTAATCACGAGAAGCATGAAAATCGTCGAGCTTCATTTCTTTAGCTATCTTTAAACCCCATCGCTGGATATCCAAATCATGAACAACGAGATTCTTTTGTCTTGCACCAACTAACTTTTTGTAAACTAAACTGTCCAGATCTTCAGTCTTCTGTCGCTTTGTTCCATGATATTCCAAACATTTTCGAAAATGTGGAATATAACTTCGGTTTGGGATTATTCGAAATCGGTGATGAATGGCTTTCCAAGATTTCCCATGTTTACTTCCCGGACCTGCATGATCAATAAAATCGATAACTTGACGCATAAACTCTTGTGAAAAGCTTCTTAAATTATATTTTTCTAAAGCTAATTCTTTGTCCTTCCAATCTTCATCCATTTCTTCACTTTCTTTCTCATCCAGCATGGATTTTTCCTCCTCTCCACTCTCTTCATCGTCGGTATAATGGCCGAAATCTAAAGTTGTTTCTTCAACGTAATCAACTTTTTGTCCACTGGCCATTAATTTAACAGTGTCAGCTAGATGTTCAGCCATTTGTCGCTCCTGTGATGTAATCGGAGACGGTTGTGTAACGGTTGAATTATTTGCAATTAAATCACTCCAAGCCGAAACGATGTTCTGCGCATTCATTTTGGTTTACGGGAAAAGAGTGACGAAATCTATCGAAATGGTATTACTGTAAGCCTTGTTTTCTCGTCTGTTGGTCAGTGAACAAACGTTATATTGTGATTTCTTTTGAACTAACCTTTTAATATCGAAAGATGAATATAACCGATACAGTCACACTTTATGGTTTATGAACAATGCGTTAGATATAGTACTGTCTGAGTTAAAGGAAATTCCCCCCAGAACATAGAGGATAACGCGCAAAAGTATATATATGCATGTTTAAGAATAATAATAGAAGTGATGATATGATCTAACCGAAGGTGAAGATCATAACAGTTACAGTCTTATTGACTGATGTTCATTGGTTTTAAAATGTCTCTTTATTCACAGAAAATCGCTGTCTGTATATACGATGGATAACTTATTCTTTAAATAACAAAGATTTTTACGAATCATGGCTCTGAAACTGCTTTATTGCCGCTTTTATCACAAATTGCTAATAACATGTGTGAAAAAACAGAACAGAAAGAAAAACAGTAGTTTTTCTTCTATAAATTGTGTAAGAATATTAGCGGTTTTTCCCTCTTTTTTAAGTTTTAGACGCAGAAGACTCGCTCAAAATCTCCCTTAGAACCTTGACAAATTGTTTTCTGTAGGTTTGACGACGTGCTCTTTCATTTTGACAGGCCAAGGAAATTTTTTAGTGATAATGGGTTTTCGATTGAAAAACCAAGAACTTTAAAAAACGGGTCTTTAAACCGAAAGCGGGCAAAAACCATTGTGATATTCGGAATCAGCACGTTCGATTACCTATTATCAACTGAGTTTAAGCTCAAAAGCGAGGAGGCAGTTGGTAGCCTTCCCTCGTTAGCTGTTGAAGAGGCATCAGATTAAGACACTTACCGTGACCATACGATCGCCACCAGGAATATTTTGTCCACCAAATTTAATTTTGATCGTATAATTACCCGGATTATGCGCTGTATAAAATATATTGAATATACCATCTTGGTTATCAACTATGTCAATATCTAAATCGTTTCCATGTGTACTACGGATGCGACACATGACGGCACCTGGTCCAGCTTTGTGCGTATACACTGTAATTGTGTACACTTCACCAACTTGAATATGTGGATTGATCCCAGGATCTGTAACAAAACAAAGCAAATAACATTCAAAATATCATTAGTGATAAATTATAGCCTACCGAAAATATGACACTTCGATCGATCCCCGATTGGGTCCACTTTTACGCTAAGCGGTGCATTATTGACGGGTATTTCCCCGTAGTTAATGCTGATTGTGTACCGTCCAACATCTTCTGGACGATAATGTACGCTATAGTATCATCTTTATTGTCAATTATTTTATTTGGAACAAGTAGACCTTCAAGATTCTACAAACATACAAAATAAAGTGGAAGAAACAAAAAAAAATACAGATATTTTCCATGGTATTCTGTTAGATTGTTCAATATAGAATTTTATAAAAGTACTTGATCTTAAATTTTTCCTGGAAGAAGAAACTAGTTGCTAAAGTATCGTTGTATTTAATGTACAGCTAAGAGATGTATGACGAAACTCAAACGATTTAAACTAACAAATCTGCTCATACTTTAATCAAGATGTTCAAAACCAGCTTCTCTTGTATCAATACGAAAATTGTTAGGTAAGGATGCTGGTACACCACTTCGAATGCCTGGACCGTCAACAATAACTTTACGTGGTTCGAAATGTGGCAATATTTGAACGTTGTATGGGCTAAAAAAGCTGAAAGATGACTCAGTTTTTCAATAGTCACACTACTCTTTCTCACGATCACCAACCCCCATGGTATTGGATTATCACTCCATGATATATCAACACGATGCTGTCCTTCACTTGCTGATGTAAATTCAGCTACATAAATACCTTCACCACGAGATCTAATATGCGCAGGTTTATGTCGACCTTTTCGCTAAAAGAAAAAAAAGGTACAACTTAAGACATTCAGAAATAAATGTGAAAGTATGATGCTAAATCCACCCTGTATGTGCGTGATTATTCTTAGTGAATTTTTGTTTTTCTTCCTCTTTTTCTTTACGCTCTTAAAAACACTTTTCTTAACTGTCGATGTTCTTTGTAACCTATGTTGATGATCATTATTTGTTGCTCATGTCATGCATTGCGTTCGTGAGTTTGCCATACATCGTAGTAACTAGTTATTGGCTGAAGGATATCTACTTTTCATTTAAACCTAAAAACAGCTGTTTATTCTTTCTATTGTTGGTTCAATAATCTTGGACTTTTTTCACTTCTTTTTCGAACACAAATTTTAATCATCTGTCCTAACCTCTAATCCTGATTAGGATTTTTCATCGTTTTTATAAAATAATTCTCTCGCACAAGATACACGGTTCTGCTCAGCTTCACAATGTAGACAACATGTGAACAACATTTTTCATAATGCATAGAATCTAAAAAGTAGCGAATATCTCAGAAACTAAACATTTCTGAGAATAATTTTTGCTTGCAAAGTGATAGAGCTGTTCGAATTGAACAATAACTTGATTGATTTTTCTTAATTATCTTCAGAAAAGCTACCACGCTCTTATTTTCATTTTTTCTGCAATCAGCAAGGCTTTAAACACAAACAATTCTTGATAGAGTTGATAGTGCTCGAAAAGTTCTTCAAAACTGGGTTGCCGAAAAGACCAAAAAGGCTTGTGGATATGGCGAAAGTTTTAAAAAATAAGAAAAACAGCCGTATTTTGCCATTTTCACCATCAAAAACTATTTTTTCACAAAACCAAAACGTCCTTTGTATGCTTCAACAAACTTGTACGTTGTTGCTAAAAATATTTTGTGTTTCAATTTTTCGATCTTCTTGCCACTGAAGAGGAGCAAGAAAAACGCTAGTATGGCAATAGTCTAAGGCATGGTCTACCTGGACCTATTCATTTTTTGAGCTCTATCGAGAATGGCTCAAAAATCTAAAAGTTCTAGATTTTTAAGCGTTTTAGGTCCTAATTTTCAACTCACCGATTATTACTTAATTGAATCTCGTTTTTAACCCTGAATATGTCAAAAAAAAAAGATTACATTATATAAAGGAACGGAAAGCACATAACCAATTTCTTTCTCTGAATTTTCTCTTTTTGTGTTTTTCCTCCTTCATACTACCTTTTCCCTCTGACTTTTTTTAGTCGTGAGTGTTCCGACTGTGCATTGTATATATGTTTATAATCCGATCTTTACAACAACCTTAAAAATTGTTTGAATGTTGCAGACAGGATCATATTAGAACAAAATCAAATATTGGGTGTGTTGATAAATCTCTAATATTTCATGGATGCTTGAAATAAGTGCAATTACTTTAAATCTGAACACTTAACAGCGGCTTTCTTTTTTTATCACGTTATTTCAGGAGATTTTCAAAGAATAGAATTTTTGGAACAAAGCTAAGAAAACACTAAAAACGTAAAATAACAAGACTTTTTGCCTACAATTAGTGATCATTATGCTGATTCAGTCGATCTCTTGAATGAAGAGCATTTCAATCCACAGAAAGAAATACAAGCTACTACCGATTTACACCGTTCAGATCCCAAACAAACGCACACGTACCGAATTCAGCTTTTCAGATCCTCTAGACTTTTATTGAAGAAAATAGTGAAATACATCATTTTTATGCTTGTTTAGTGCCTCCCCCTCAAACAATAAAATCAGAAAACAATACAGGTAGATTTCTCTTGCCTTTACCCCGACCACTATCTACATTTTTTTCCTGTATTGTCGAGCTTTTCCAATCAGTTTCTATTAAGTGGGGGGTCCCCCATTTAGATTTTTCTCTAGCGTTCCCAGTTTGTAGAGAACACTTCGAAGTATATGTCCTGAAGTTTTTTCGGCTTACTGAAGTTATTTGGCTGAGAAAAAAATTAATTATTTAAAAAAACAAACAGACTTAAAGGTGGCCTATCTTGTAGTTCGTGAAATTCTCTATCAGATGAGGTATTGCTTGAAATTTTCGTTGAATCCTTATTTTACAAATGGGACTTTAAGCTAGTAGCGCAGGCTAAATTAACGTTAATTAGTACTAATTAATCAATAACCGGAAGAAAAGAACAAAAGTTTTTACATATTTTCTCGTCCCAAATATTCTGCACACATTTGTCCATCGATCTAGGCAAGAACTAAGTTTTCATGATGAATGGAGAACGGACAGAAAATTTTATAATAATAACCGCGTGCTCAAAAATTTAACAACATTTTTTTAAGTAATTAATTTTTTTCTCAGTTAAATAATGTAAGTAAGCTGAGAAAACTTCAGGACATATACTTCGAAGTATCCTCTACAAATTGGGAAGGCTTGAAGAAAAAATTAAAACCTTGAAAATATCACTGGTTTTTGGCTCAGCGAAGATTTTTTACCTCATCTTACCGCTAGTTTCGCTCGAACCAAGCATTTTGAAGCAAAACTTTTGGTACAAAAGTTGTTCAGAATCAAATTCTGCAGTCCCTCACGAGAACTTTTTTTAAAATTTTCTGTTTTGGGTTTTTAAATTAAATTTTACGATTTTTAAAATCCTAAAATTTCATATTTTTCAATTTAAAAAGCAAAAAAAGAAAATTTTAAAACAACCCGCGAGGGACTCCGGAACTCGATTCTGAACAACTTTTGTATCAAGAGTTTTGTTTCAAAATGCTTGCTTCGAGCGAAACTAGCCGTAAGGCTTTTTTCAAAATACTTTTAGCTCTAAAATTTCTTCGGGAAGGTGAAAGTTAAATTTCTCTGTCAAACTTCATTTGGGAACGATGTAAAGTTTTTCTCCTTATACAAATTAATGTTCTCTATTGAACTACGCTAGAATCAACACTTCATATCAAAAAATGAAGTTTTTATTGAAATTTTAAAAATAGGGCAAAAAACCTGAAAAAAACTTAAAAACTTTTTTAATCAGAAACTATAAATCCAGGAACTGAAAGCTTTGTTGAGACGTATACTTCGAAGTGTTCTCCACAAACTGCTGGAAAAAAACGGGTGGCGGACCCCCCCCTTAAATGAGGTATATCATAGACCTATATAAAAATCATTATATTATCTGAAAGCTATAGAAACCGATATCCGATTCGTGTTATATCAAATAAGGGAATAAAGTCTGACAGGAGTAGACACATTTCACATAAAATATTTATATCGAAAATGCTAGACAATACAGTAGACATATTGAGAAAATAAAACATCACGCTTCTACGAGATTACGACTACATTCATTCTCCACTAGAAAAGATTTGTTCCTTTAACGGCTTACAAAACAAAGCCATAATTACGAGTCCTCGGTTTTCTAGAAGCAAAGAATTTACGAAACATAGTATCGGCGTAAAGCACTTTTTTTCTTCGACTAAAACTTATTTCATGTTTAGAGAACACTTACTTATGTACAAATCAATAATAGACAAACAAAGAACAATTTTTCTTGGTATGGGCCATTTTTCAAGGGAATAGCTAGTTAAAAATTTCAAGACAATTAGAACGCTTTCGTAGAAAAATTAGGACAGCTATGTTGTTTTTTACCATTACGTATTGATACGCATGATTTAGATAGTTTGTTATTCACCTAAAACATGTTTGTTATTCAATTTCTTTAACTTACCGTGAACATCTGTTATATCAATAGCCGGAGTTCCTGGTCCTGCAGCTTGTCCATCGATCAAAATTTCTTGCTGTACATTAGTTCGTTTGAGGCATTTTAACATTAACTTTATTTGCGTCTAATCGATCGCGTACGTTAACACGAAATGGAGAGCCTAAAACAATCATTTCTCTATACATCTAAACAATTCTAATTATAGGTACAAAATATGTACCGGATACGTGTTGTTCAGTAAATTTAATTGTAATGTCGTATTGGTCAGATTTTATCTATAATGATGACGTTACAGACAAGAGAATTTTACGTGCTGTTTAAAATACATACGAGAAGATATTCCATAATACATGTATCGTCTTAATTATCTCGGCAAATCATTTTGGCTTCTGAAACAAGAGAATGAGATGAATCATTCTCAATAAAACATGAAAGAAGTATTTCATACCACTTGGACCTTCGATTCCCAAACCAAGGCTATCTGTTCCAATTGTAAACGTTGTGGCTTCGTTTGTCGTTGCGCTTTCAAGGCCTTAACATAGAGAATACATAAATTTTAAGGGCTATAAAGAAGAGAAAACAAATACCTGGACCATAAGCTCGTACACGCGTTGGATCACATCCAGATATAGTGCTAATACGAAATGGACTACCGGGTACTGGAATATTTTCGTTGTTCGTTTCGTGTTTCACATTGCTCTTGTAATGTGTCTAACGTTGCTCGTGACAAATGGCCACCGAATATATATACATCTGAAGAAAACAAGACGAAAACGAGGATTACGACAAAACAAAGGCTAACTCAAATGTTAACTAGCAAACACCATGTTAATCGTTGTAACACAAAGAAAACGTTTCCTTAGCAAAGCACTACTGAAGAAATCTATACATCTACACTGTAACTCGTTCAGAGGATTCATCATCAACATCTCTTTATGTCGCCGGAAGCAATGTGCACCGCTGTTAGAAGTTCCCTTCCAAGAAGAGCTGTCGAGAATGACCATTTACGTTAACATTTATCCACTCCTTTCTATCTGCTGACTGAATACAAATTTAAGCAATCTCTTTATCGTTCAACAGATGTCTCATCTTTCGGAGCAGATAGCGCGTGTACTAAAAGCTTCTATGCGAGAAGTAATATTTTGTTGTGAAGGGAGGGACTGAGATTTATAGACAACTTTGTGCTTTGTTTTTGTTAAACGAGTGCAAAGTTAGTCTGAAACAATATTGGAAATGATGAAGAGTCCAAAACAAGATCGCAAAATAAACTGAAGTGAGTTAAGAAGCCCAAGATGTTAGAAAAAATTTCTACCGCTTATTATAAAAAGATTATTATGGCGCACATTATAAATGACTTCTTTCATAGTTCTGCTAGAATTATTAATTGAACACTAATTAAAAATGCAGGCAGTATAATCATAATCAGGTTTATATTTAAACTTATTTTAGCTTTCTGCTTTAGACATGGGACATAAACATTACAGAGGCAAGCCAAGTACACTGGTCTTTTGTAAATAACGAAAACTATGAAGGATAGAACAACCTTTAGTGTTTATAACGAACTGAAAACTTCTTAATAAACAGACAAAAAAGTGTTGACAAAGCCTACGACTTTTCCGTTGTAAGAAGCTACCTGCCAATACTACGTGCCAAAAATGGCCGCCGTCGATAAAAAATTTTCTTCGCTTTCTCACTGTTAGTTGAAGAAGATTTCATGCAATGTCTTTACAGTTCAATAGATGTCGCTTGATTATGAATATGGTCTTGCCCAGATATTATGCATAGTAAAAAGCATTTTCTTAATCTATATTTGATGTAATATCCTCGTATGAAGGGAAGACTTCAGATTAGATGTTACGTGATTCATTGTATCTTATTAATAACTCGCATCTTATCGCATGAAATCATCAAGTCGCCAGCCATAAAAGAAACGTTCAGAAAATGACTGTGTTCGAGTTGCTGGAGAATCGAAATACTGAAACAAATAAGACGTGTAAGCTGTTTTGGATATAGAAAACCGCTAATTATTTTAATTCAATAATCTTCTTTTCTTGAAACTCAGGCGTTTGTAAGTGAAAATGATGTAATCATCTATGCACTTTTGATTTTATGTGCTAACATAAAGGTTTTACATGGCAACAATCACAGTAATTTGGGATAAACGTTTTATTTGTTTGCGTGAATCAGTAACAAATGTGGTAGAGATTGGACTACGGATTTCAACCCTAGAGAATGTCCAGTTTATCTGGTCTTGAGAACAGGGTACAGACTTATTTACTTATAGTTGTCTGTTTCCTGTTTTTATTTTCTTGTCCTGATCAGCTCTAAGACCAGACCAAGAAAGTGATAAGAACAGATCAAGAAAATCTGTCTTTTCTGCTGATCAGATAAACAGTAAGTTTGGACTGGTCTTGAGATTTTCCAAGAAACAGACACTGATCAGGGTTGGATAGGCCGTACTTTTCTGTCTAACTGCAAGAAGGCAAGAGAATTTATTTTCAGTTCTTTTTCCACGTGAGCATTTATATCTATAGATAATCCTCTAGATCGATGTATATATAGTTTATGTAGTCCAAATTTTTGTATAAGCTATACGGCAGACACGTGCGTGATTGAAGATAAGATATGCTTTCATTATTCTCATTCTAAAACAGACATACAAAAGAGTGTTCGTTATATACACGACACTTCTTATTTTCTTTACTTGGATTGCAAGCTATTTCTATACTTGAACTTTTTGCAGTTTATATCTGCATTTTTTGACTTTTTCAAAGTACAGGTACATAAAAAAACGTAATTAATTCACAGGGGAAGTGCACAACAGGTTCATTGAGTGAGTAGGGGACATGCACCGGGTAATTGACTAAGGATTTTCTGTCTTTTCAAAACCTAGCGTTTCGTAAATTGCTCCGTTAAAAATTTTCTGACTGGATAAGGATGTAGAGCTAACATTTCTCTAAAAATAAGAGGTTGGGCTGCTCTGTATGATTTGTTTTGAGATATCGGCAGCGATACCTCGAGAATACATAATCGAGTGGTAAACAAGTCTTAATTACTTCCTTTTAATTTCTCTCATGTTCCAACCTGTATAAATTCTGTCTCAAATTGGTCTACTTCTAATCTCATGTCTCTCAATGTGTCTAAATGTTCTTGGCTTCCATTTAGTTTTGATCTTTTCCTCTTGTTTACAATCAGCTGTATCTTAATAAAGTCCCTCATTCCGTTGCGTTTTCTGTTCGTTATCTCGGAGTTCTTGTTTCGCACGATCTTAGGTGGAGTGAACATGCCATTGCTCTTGCTTGTCGACCCAAGCAAGGCGCACTGAGCCGTGTCTTTGGACTCGCTCCGTAAGAGGTTCGACGTCGAATCTATCTTTCTTCTATTCTTCTTAAACTTGATTACTGTTGTGCCTTATACGATAGTTCCTTTTCGCTTTCCGTACTTGATTCTGTAAATAATCTTTCCTGAACAAATCCGTGTTTTTCGCCAAGAACTTCATGTTTTTTCCTGAAGAAATTGGTGTTTTTCCAAAAGAACTTTATCTTTTTCACTGAAGAAATCTTGGTTTTTATACAACAACTTCATCTTTTTCCCTGAAGAAATCGGTGTTATTCCACTGACTCTATTTTTCCTTTTGTGGGATGTAACAAAAGGGAATACGATCTATGGCTAGCTTTTGCACTGGCCATAGTTGTTTTTGCGATCAGGCCCAAATCTTTGACATTTCTTTCATGTTTTCCATTAGTTTTTGCAAGAGCTTTTCTTTCCAAATTTTCAGGAATTTGGTTGTGTATGTTATCCATCAAGACAAAATCATCCGGTGATGGGTTGGTAGCTAAACGACGGTAACTCTTTTGTAAACTGAATAATTCGCGCCGGGACTCTTTTACCATCTCATGAGTTTCATCTTATAATAGCAATGTTAGACTTGTCTTGAAATCTATCCACCATTCTTGGCATCCAAAATCAGCTGTTCTGAGAAAGACACTCCAAATATCTTTGAAATGCTCTATAAACGACTTACGAGTTACAACTGCTGAGTTACATATCCAACGATGATATGAAGATTCACTCGAGGGCATATTAAGCTCGATTGAGATGCTGTCATGATCTGATAAACCGATAGGAACATATGATACTCGCTGTGTGACATTTTGTATTGATTTGGTCCCAAAGAAGAAATCTATACGACTATGAACATTATGAGAAATGCTATGAAATGAATACACTATAGTACGAGGATGTTTCGACCGGAAAAGTTCAAATAAATGGAAAGGTTGAATAATCTCCCTTTTCAAGCACGTATAGGATTTGTCACCCCGTTCGCTGCTTCTATTTCGATCCCGTTTAGGATCAGGTACACAATTGAAATCACCGCCGATTAGTACGAAAGTACTAGCTGGTATGGAAGGAGCTAAGTCATTGAAAAACTTTTGTCGTTGAGC